CCTGCTTTAAACTTCTCCACAACTTTATCCCTGACCTGTCTGGTGTGTTCCTTGGACTTCATGATGCTGTTTGCTCCCCAATATTCTCTTAACCAACCTCTGAGGCTGTCACAGAGCAGCTGTATTTGTACGGAGATTAGATTAAACACAGGTGGACTCTATTTAGTCATTAGCAATCATCAGGCAACTTCTGAAGGCAATTGGTTGCACTCATAGTAAAGATGGCTGAATACTTTCGCACACCGCACTTTTCAGTTTTTATTTGTAAAAAAAAAAAAAGGAACCATGTATAATTTTCGTTCCACTTCACAATTGTATACCACTTTGTGTTGGTCTTTCACATAAAATTCAAATAAAATATATTTATGTTTGTGGTTTTAATGTGACAATATGTGGAAAAGTTCAAGGGGTATGAATACTTGTAAAAGCCACTGAATTGGCAAATCACTCTTAATTTAGTGGAAAAGAAACGTAATAGTAACGTAAAGCTGATTTTAGGTAAACTACAGTCTATGTTGTGAATGGATCATTGTTGGTGAGTCACCATTCTCTAAATGTTAAACATAAAATTAAAGCCAACACCATAGCTTGTGCCACTTGTGGATTCATACAGGATTTAAATCATCTAAACTCCCATGTATTGGTCACATAGTGATAAAACAGACAGACTGTACCTTTATTTTGCATGATTTGATCTGCTGTAGTGATCTTTTAAAAAACTGAAAGTTCATTTTCAGCTCCTGCATTGCCGAAGCTTGGTTGAAAATATTTGACAGGTATTCCAAAAATTTTTATCCAACAAGATCTTTGGCTGCTCTCATTTGACAAGTCCCAAGAACGTCACAATTATCCATCACTCCAAGAGTGATCTTTGCTAAACAGCTCATATTATGGGAATTATAATCATCAAATGATCTATATTTTCAAATGTGGGTGATGAGCATGATGTCATAAAAAAAACAAATCTGTGTTAAAAATAAAAACAGTAAATGTCTTTCTTTGCACCTGAGAGGTTATTATTCAGTATTAAATGTTGTGTATTTAAGAAACTGCGGTTGTACCGTTTTGGACGAATATTGTGAGGAAGTTTATGATGTCTTTGTTGGCTTTGCTTCTGTGGCGTATAAATCTTCTAAGCAATTTGTCATTTCTGCTTTTGGTCCTTTTACAGTTGATGTGAAATAAAAAAAGTCACAAGAATTTCTGACTGTTATGTTTGTTATTTAGACACGATAAACATAAACTTTCAAAATCACACAGGTCTTCCAAAACCATCCATTTAAATTATACATTGATGCAACTGAGTGATACATTTACACCATATGATCAGCCTTATTGAACATATCTTTAACACTCTTACAATTTAATGGTTTATGAGAGTGGGGACAGAATAAAGGTGTGAAAATGGTTCAGGAAATCCTCTCAACATGGCGGTTATCTATTTGTGTGTGCCCAATTCTTATGAAAGCAGATCAATTACATCTAAAAGCAGATATGTAAATAATTTTAGGTTATAGTTATTAAGTGTGGAAATACATTCTTTCAGTTTTGTGCATGTGTAATAAAATTTCCCCAAGGACAGATCCTTTTTGTGAACAACTGCAGAAACATGACACTGTAGCACTGTGTGTAGAAAACTACTGGAACTAACCTGGGACATATATTTATATTTGCATTGCATTTAAGGGCTAATTTAATAATAAAAAAAAGAGCTAAGACATGATAAAAATCATTGCATAAAGCAATATTTGACTCTTTATGGTAGTGCTGCATTAAACAGTAATGTTGTAGTCAGGATTTAAAAGATCCAACAGTTTCTGCACCTGTCAGGTTTTCAGGGAGTTTGTTCCACAGATGAGAGGCAGAGAAGCTTGTTTTAAGATTCAACCGTGATTCAATTTCTTTAATTACTCAATCTGTAGGAGCACATGTGGCTCAGTGGTAGAGCAGGACCTCCATATGGAGAGGCTACAGTCCTCGACACAGTTGTCCATGGTTCGATTCCCAGCCCTGGGACATTTTTTACAGGTCTTCCCTTTCTTTATGTCCTGTTTACTGCAAAGCTACTGTTGAATAAAGACCACTGGTGCCACAAAAACCTTTTTAAAAGGTACACAAGGTCTCATCAATTCTGAAGTTCAGCTTTGCTTCTTATGGTCTGAGAGTCACATTCATGTACAGCTTTAGAAGCTTTACAGGCTGAAGTATTCCCTTTAATTAGAAAAGGCTTTATTCTGATCATTCTGTCTCACAGCTTTGACCTGTTCATAACTCCAACAATGACTCTCCCTTCTTAACATAGGAACTCACTCAGGTTATAATTTTGTTGGTTTCTTTTCTTATTGAAGACAAACACTAAACAAATTACCAGCTTGTCATCTAATTCAGAAAGGTTTTTTTTACTTCCATATTTCCACCATTGGAGACTTTTAATGCTCTGGACGTAAATTATCTCTCCTATGCCCTGACTGACTTTCACAGGTCTGCAGATGATTCTCTTTATCTCCTCCATTATATTGCTGATGTACAGTCCATCATCATGATCATTTGCTTTCTCGACTTTCTCGACTTTCTGGACTTTAACTGTGCAACAAAATATGTATATGAATGCTCAGCTAAATGGAGTTTAAATGAAAATTCAACATGGAAGGGTCACCATCACCTCCAACACCATCACCTCCAAGTTTAAAAAAAAAAAAAACTTCATCTAATTACTCCCCCATGCGGCTCTGCTCCACCAATCAGCGTCAAGTCTGCATTTCTCCCCAGCCAATCATCCTTCAAGGCTCCGCTTTAAAAGATCTTCATCCATGGATCCCTCTGTTCTGCAGCTGAACTTTGACCCTCCTCCACCCCATCTCCACCATTTGGCTTCCAAACTCCTTCCTAATCTCCTCAGGCCTCCACTCCACCACCAGGATCGGATCCCAGGGGGGAAGACATCTCTAAATCTAACCCTAAGATGTTCATTCAAGCGCATGTCATTCTCAGCATTCACGTCTTCCACTGGGGTCCGAGCGCCAAAGAAATAAACATTCACTAATAAACTTTTCTAATTGCATCCCTGTCTTCTCTTTGTGAGTCTTTCCAGATTGAAATGTTATATTTAAACTTTCTTCATGCACCCCAAAATAAACAAAACCTTTGTCCTTGTTTTTGGCAAAGGTCATTATGTAATAGGAAATTCAAGAAACCTAAAATAAAAAGTATAAAAATGTAAACAATATGAAAGCCTGAGTCTCAGAAAGGTTCCAGATCAACTTGAAGCTACAGGTTAATATTAGGTCATCCATCCCTTGTCTTCTGCATTTTGAGGATGGGTTCTGGGGACTCTTGGACATTTCCAGTTTGGAGTCTCCTCCTAGTGGAACAAGCAAGGTTAACACCTAAAGTGTGGTGCCCAGAAGGTACCCTGAGCAGATGCCTGAGCTGATGCCAACAGAATAACAATGTCTGTAAATACCAAACAATGACAGCCCCCTCTCTGCAACTATGTGTTGAGATCCTGTCCCTGAACAACAATCGATGACAAGTTGTCGACCTTGTTGGAGTCCAACCTGAACTTGGATTTGTACATCATGTATTATTTATTTGTTACTTATTAAGGTGTTATTCACAGAATTGATCAGAATACAAAATTTTTGCTTTGTAGTAAGATAATTTTTGTTAAATTACCTGATTTTGTCTAATTTGGATTTTAATCTGTATTTCACTTTACTTTTTGAATTTCTTCAAATCACCCCTTTAAAGTGATTCTCTGTGATGCTAAATTCTGGGTAATTAGCAATGATCACTTTAAAAAAACAGGCTGCTTGTCTAATCTTCTTCCAAACAGAAGCACTTCTGAATAGATTCATCAACTAAAGTGTAAAAACTTTCTTGGGAATAAAAATGAAAAACATTGACTGCATGGAACATCTTCCTGTAGGTGACTTCAGGGTAACCTCTCTGTGACAGATATATAACACCCTGAAATTGATTTCAGCCAACAGTGAAACACTGGGATTTTTGCATTAAATGGTATTCCAGCAAAGGTTACAGAAACAGACACACAGAGAAAAAACATAAAACACGGCAGCATATATTTCTTTCGGACAGTTCTTCTTAAGGCTGAGGTTTTTCTTTGCAATTTACCTAAAGCCTTGTCAATTCAAATCTGCCCAGACAGCATTTTTCAGGTCTCTGCTGAGGTGACCTTTCAGAGTGGCATTTGGAAATTAATTCCCCTTGAGCAACACTGGCCACCAAACACAGTTCATCCAAATATAGTCCATCCTTCACTTCTTTACAAGCCTTACTCTAGTTTTGGTTTCTGCGTTTCCATTTTTTTTTAAAGGAAGGTAGATGTGAATATTAAACACACATTAAACATCAGAGTGTTACCAGTTCCAATGAGAATAATGCCCCGAGGTGTTCTGAATTTCTTATGCATACAACTGATGAGACAAATAAATAAAGCAGAAGGAATTCAGCTAATTGCATAACAAATTTGACCTTTACTCTTTTTATATCCTAGGATATGTTAAAACTAGAATTATAATTTAACTAATAAGTAGCAAGCCTCTAAATATTATTCAGTGAATAAAGAACCTTCCAAAGGTATTACACCTTTTACCCCTTTTCATATTCTTTCATGCTAAATTCCAAAATTATAAGGTTTTTTCTTTTATTTTAGGTGATAGACCAACACAACATAGTGCATAGTGGGGGTGAAAGAATGTTTTACAAAATAATTCTGAAAAACAGCATCTGTTTTAAGCCCACCTCTGTCATTAGATTGTAGATTCACATAGCTGCAAGGTTTTAGGGTATGTCGGTACCAGCTTTGCATATCTAACCACTTTTGTTTGTGAAATAGCTCAAGAACAGTCAGATTGGGTGAGGAGGAATTGTAAACATCAGTTTTCATATCTTACCACATATTCTCAGTTGGATTTAGGTCTAGACTTTGACTGGGACATTCTAACAAATGAATACAACATGCTTTGATTTAAACTCTTCCATTGTAGCTCTAACTGTAGGTTTAAGGTTGCTGTCCTGCTGGAATGCTGGAAGATGAACTCCTGCCTTAGTCTCAATACTTCTGGAGCTGCTAAGACTTTTTCCATGAATGCTCTGTATTTGGCTCCATTGCTCTTCTTATCAACTCTAAACAGCTTCCCTTTTTCTTATTTTGAGCCATGGCTTTTTTTTTGCCTCTCTTCCATAAAGGCCAGATTTGTGGAGTACAGGATTAATACTTCTCCTGTCAAAAGATTCTCCCACCTGAGCTATGGATTTCTGCTGCTCTTCCAGAGTTACTATGGGATTCTTAGCTGCTTCTCTGATTATTGCTCTCCCTTTTTGGCCATATCTTAGTAAGTTTGCCATTCTTTCATACTCATGCACCATCTTATTTAAAACACCTTCTCAACCTTTCCTGTACTTCAAGCACATTCTTCCAACACTGTTTGCACATTCCCAGGACTCGATCCCGCACCATGGGAGATCGGGGTTTTTCCAGCGCCAACCCTCGGCTGTGGAGCAATTTGCCTCCACATTTGAGGGCTCCACAGACCCCGACACATTTAAAAACAGGCCTTAAAACCTTCCTTTTTACCCAATGTTTTAATGGCTTCCTTAAATGCTTTATCTTGATTTTCTTTCTTTTGCATTTAATGACCTCAAGACTTACTTATGTATTTTATCTGCATTTTAAAGGGACATATTGTCCGAGCTACCGCACCCTGCTGGCGGTCAGACACCTCGGAGCTCCTCCAGTACTTGGTCCCCATGAAGCGATCACACACTCTATCTAAAGACTCTTAAAGGAACGACTCTCAACCAGTTTCTAACTTTTAGCTCTTTTTACTCTAAGTTCAGGCAGAGGAATGATTACAGAGATCAGCGCTGAGGCTCCCGTCTCGGACCGTCGCCGTCTGTTAGAGGATGACAAAGAGCCTCAATAGAAGGTCACATACAGTTTTTATATCTGGCACTCCAATGCAATGGATGTTCCCTCCCTCAGTGATTATCAGTAGACTATGTGTCACCATTGTGGTGTCTATCTGTTAGATTGTGTAGTAGCGGGT